TCTCTGTAAAAAATCAATAAAATAGATTTAAAAAAAAAGAAAAAAGAAAATGCATAGGCAGCACTGGCTGGTGTGGCTTAGTTGGTTGAGCATTGTCCCATGTACTGAAAGGTCACTGGTTTGATTCCCTGTCAGGGCACATACCCAGTTTTCGGGTTTGATCCCTGGTCAGGGTGGGTGTGGGAGGCAACTGATCGATGTTTCCCTCTCACATTAATGTTTCTCTCTCTTTTTCTCTCCCCCTTCCTCTCTAAAATCAATAAAAACATATTTTTTAAAAAAGAAGATGCATAGACTGGCCACATAATGGGAGAAAGTATTTGCGAAATCTATTTCAGACGAAGGACAGGTAGGTATCCAGAAGATAAAAATAACTCAGAATAAAGATTTTCTAGAAGTAAACAATAAAAAGATAAACAATTTAATTAAAAATTTGACAAAAGTTATGAGCAGACAAAATATCTACAAATTCACTTAAAATGCACATAAAAGTAGTAGTAGTAATCAAGAAATGAAAATTAAACTATACACTGTATACCCACCAGAATGGCTAAAATTAATGGCTGACAAAACCCAGTATCAATGAGGCTATGGAGCAAATAGAAGCCTTCTACATTGTGGGTGGGACTGCAGAATGGTCCTATCACTCTGGGGAAGGTGTATTAAATGTTCTTGTATGAGTCTTTTTGTGGAGACAGCCTTTCATTTCTCTTGGGTAACTATCTGGAAGTAGAATTACTTATCATATACCCAAGAGAAATGAAAGACTATATCCACAAAAAGACTTATACAAGAATGTTCATAGATAGCAGCTTCATTCATAATAGCAAAACATGGAACAGTCCACGTGTTCATCAACAGAAAAATGAATAAAACAGTTTCATACAATGTTCCTTATTTCTCTAGCCATAAAAAGTTACAAAGTACTAAATGAATTTTAAAAATGTTATGGTGAGAGCTTGACAAAATAGAATTTTCGATTAATACATTATGAAGTTCTGAGAGAGAGAGAGCACTGGTTGCCTCTGTGGCAGGAGGGGAAGGAAAGAATTGGGAAAAGTGATGAGAGAACTTTTCTTGGGTGATATACCTTGATAGGGGTTGGATTAGTGCATTTGTCAAAACTCATTGAATGTTACACTTTAGATTTATACATTTTATTATGTGTAAACTTTACCTCAAGAGGGGAAAATTTTTTAAAGATGTGATTTTAGGCCCTGGTGGGGTAACTCAGTTGGTTAGATCATCACCCCGATATGCCAAGGTTGTGGGTACATAATACAAGAAACAATCATTGAATGCATAAATAAGCGGAACAACAAAATCACTCTTTCTCCTTTTCTCTCTCTCTAAAATAAAATAAATAAAATAAAAGTGATTTTAATGCAGGTGATCTGAAGACCACACTCTGAGAACCATTGGGTTTGACTAATTTTCAAGAAATAATCCTTTCTTACTGTGAAAAGTAATTCATAGATTACTAATTTAACATTCTGATGTTTTTCTTTAATAATTCATGGCACTATCAATGTAAGAATGTCCAAACCAGCAGAGAATTTTTATGAGGTTATTTGAGCCAAACTGAGGACAAGCCAGAAAGCAAGATCTCAAATGCTGTGGAGAATGACAGTTTTGCAGTTTCTTTTATACATTTGGAATTAAGGAGGGAACATCCGAAGATCACATGATGGTGGGAGAAAGAAAGGCAGGAAAATATCTGATTGGACTACCATATAGTTAACAAGATTATTGCTCCCTTCAGGGTGGTTGCTCTTCCCAGGGGTCTGGAAAAGAGGATTACTCTGGCATTTCCAAGGTGTGTTAACCTGAATTCACAAGAACAATGTTTAGTGCTTGTTTAAGGCATAGGTAAACCTTTCATAGGCCTGGGGCATGATACCCACATGTCTTGCCCAGTTAGGAATTTGTAATGAGATCACTCTGTGACTTTCCCTTAGATTGATTACAGAGTCCCTTTTTTGTCAGCACATTAAATATTTTACAGGGAATATTAGTATATAGTTATATAAATATTGTATGAGAAGTGTCACTTCCTTAAGAGGATTAATAAGTGGAAAAGGTTTTGTGACAATATTATATTCTTCCTTATTCCAATAAATGTTATTTATTTATTTTTTTTGACTAAAATATGGTTTCTTTATAAACCACTTGACATATAGTTACTTTCGTATACATATTGTTTATGTAAGAAAAACAAATTGGTAAATTAAGAGTTCAGACATCTTGGACAAGACTTGACTTCTGGGCTTCAGAAAGATGTGGAAACTTTTCCTGAAGAAGTTTTGCTTTCTTTTTCTCTAAATTTCTCTTCCTTATTTGGATCTGGGCGCGTTTCTCCCGTTTCAGTCTGTCAAAATGTTCCACATAGGGCATTGCAAAGAATCGTTTCCTGTTGTACCTTTTATTTAGGTACCACGGTATAGGCCACTGTTTGAACTTGTGCCAGATGATTCTTCCAAAGATGTCTTTTCTCCAGGCACCAGGTCTAGGTTTTTCTTGACCCGTCTGAAGGAGCCTTAGGGCATCTTCTCGTTCCTGGACAACTTTATCGAGTGCATCCATGGATTCTATTACTTTTTCTAGCCGCTCCGGGCTTGGCATTGGTAGTATCTGCCGCTTGGCCTCCTGCTCTAGAGTTAGGAGCATGTTTCTTTCTTTCAGTAGGACATACCAAAGTTTATGTAAATCTTCATTACTTTTGTTCCTTAATTGCTGACAGGTCCATGCAGCTCCAGATTTCACTTTTTCTTCTCCCCAGTTCTTTGGGTCATCAAAAAATTCTTCCAGTCCTTTCCTTGATAATGTGGAATGAAGTATTCTACACTGGTGTAAAGATGTGACACTTGGTATATTCTTAGGCGACAGAGTAAGAGAAAACCCTGTGCCAGCAGGGACCTGAGGGCTCATGAATGACCTGGAAGTCTGCACGGCGGCTGACACTTTCCTGCAAAGAACGGCTAACCTGGCAGCAGCCATTTTTTTTTCCTAAATGTTATTTTTAATGTCAGGAATGCAATGTTAATATCAGGAGGATTTGCACACGGAAATAACTGCATTGAATTAGATGTAATTGAATTGATTAAAATGTGGTTTGAGATGGTATTTATAGCGATGTGTAGTAATCTGGTTTTTAATTTTTCAGCTGAACTGCTGGCTTTCACCACAGTGCAATGAATGCGTTTACTTATGTGATAGGCCTCTAGTGTCATTTACTTTAAGATCCTAGGTGTTTAGAAAATTAGAACTTATACTTCATATTTCTTAATTGTAGTGTGAACCTGAAAACTTTCAAAAGTGCTATAGGAGAACAGTTGGAACTTAATACTAATGACCAAATGTTGACTCATGAGTATGAGGCAAATCTGACCTTACTGATTTATAGATAAAATTATGTGGTCAACTGTCAGGCCACATCCCAAATAATATCTCTTACAATAGGATATTAGTCAGATGCCTGAAATTTCACCAAGTAAAGATATTTGCCCTTTTCCAAATTTTCCTGATAACAGTCATTTGGGGCACTTACTAAATTTCAGATCTCTCCCTCTCTTAGAAATTGGAATTCCTTGTTTACAGACTGGTTCAGTGGGTCTAGGATGGGCTGAGAATTTATTTGTATTTTTAACTGTTACCTTCTGATAATTCTTAACAGGAATGGCTAGGAAGCATTGCCCTAAAGTGGACCTAGGTTTCTCAAACATTTTTGTTCAAAATAAAAAAATGAAGAAGGAGGATGTGAAGGAGGGGGCGGGGAGAAGAGGAAAGGAAAAGAAAAAGAAAAATCTCCTCTAGAGACCTTGTTGAAAAAACAGATTCCTGGGCTCTACCCAGTGCTTCTCATTTCTCTGGAATGAAGCCCCCAAATCTGTTTTTAGAGCTGTGTTTCCTAAGAGGAAATATTATTTGATGTGAACCTCAAGAAGGGCTTTATCTGCTGAGATGGACTCCCCCTGGTCTACCTGAGGGCCCAGATTTTATGAACAATAAGAGTCTAGCAGCTGTTTGCTCACAGGGGTCCCTCGTGTACTCTGTATATTGGAAAGAACCTCAGATTGAACTCTCTGCTTTCTCTTTCTACCCTGGTTTCCTCTTTCTACCAATGGATTGAGACCTGCCCTGTCCAATCAGAACTGCACAATTTTGATACTTCATTTACATAAATGGACCTAATTGGGACCCTGGATAGGAACTACTGCTATAAAAAAACCCCCGCCTCCCCCAGCTGGTGTTGCTCAGTTGATTGAGCTGCATCCTATGCACCAAGAGGTTCCCGGTTTGATTCCCGGTCAGGACACATGCCGGGGTTGCAGGCTTGATCCCTAGTAGTGGGTGTGCAGGAGGCAGCCAATCAGTTTCTCTCTCATCAATGTTTCTATCTCTCCCTCTCTTGTCCTCTCTCTCTAAAATCAATAAAACCATATTTAACCTCACCCCCCCCCCCCCACCTCTCCTTTATCTTGGTGGAACACAATATAGGGTGCTACCTGAATCTGTCACCTGGGCTACAGATCTTTTTGCTCAATTCTTTATTATAGCCTAAAATTAATTTTGGTTTACAGAACTCATACAGTGCACAGGTCTGAGTGCTGTCTTCCTAGTGTAGCCTTAGTGAAAGGTCCTTGAGTAAGTTTTCAGTCACTCTGACAGGAGAGAAGCGAAGCCGGGGAGTAGGAAATTAAAGGAAAGATAATTTTAGAATTAAGGATAGGTCTTAGTGTAAGAGATAGATGGAGGACAGTGAGAACCTGTAGGATAGTGAGCGTGCCTAAGAGAAAGGAGAAAGTCACCTGGGGACCAACCATCCCATAGCTGCAGTACTATCATCTTTGTGGGGTGGAGCATGGGTAAGCCTTAGGAAAGTGACTTTTGAAAGCAATTACATTTATTGCCTTGCAAGTGAAAATCTACCTGCATGCCATAGATCACCAGTTCTTGTTTTACATGCTGCTATAAACATGTATTGATTTTTCTCTGCATAGTAAGAAGAAAACATAACTTATAGACCATCTTCTGGCAGAAGATGATAGATTTGGATCATAAACAGGAGGCGTTGGAAGCCAGGAATCAAAAGTGAAGAAATTCTGCAAGCCCTTGGGTAAGAAAAGTGATGGATTTATTTACTCACATGCCTCACATTATCGTTATATGGTCATCTAATGTGAGTGTGTTGCTTCTAGGCAGATATGTAACTTCACAAGTGTTAAGGAGAAGGTAGAATAAGCTGCTGAAAATGGGTCTTAAGCACACATTTCTCCTTAGGCTGCTTCTGCCAGCACTTCCTGTCATCACCTCTGCATTCACTTCTACTATTTCCCAGGACCCTTCACTTCCTTCCCAGGTTAAAGCCTTAACCTAAAATACCTCATTAATATTGATAGCTAGCATTTATTGACTTCTTACTGCTAGGCTCCTTGCTATTGTGCTCTCCTTGCATTCTTTCCTTCCTTTCTTGAAATACCTCAATAATCTAGATATGTGATTATGATCCATTTTGTAGATGAGACATGTGAGGTTCCAAAAGATAATACAACTTGCCCAGGACCTCACAGCTAGGAAATGGCAGAATCAGGTTTTATAGTTGTGCTGGCTTCTGATTCCATACTTGCTGCCTTCTTCCTTCCTCTGATGGAGAAAAATGGGGAACCACACCTGCACATCCTCCAGTGCACCAGAATAGGTTGCCCAACTTGACAAACCTCTTTTGAAAGATTGTCAATCCCTGAGATTTAAAAGCATTTTAGTTTTCTTTACTATTATACTTTAAATATAAATAGAATTTTCCTATTCAGAGTTTAATGACTCTCAGAATGGTAACTTAAGACTTTTTTCAGTTTGAAATGAAAGAGGCCTAGCAAATGAGTAAATGAATGAATGAATGCTTCCATGTATAGAATATTACATGTTTGTCTACTTGTCACTTTTGTTTGTTCTGTGTTCAGAGAGAGGGTCCATTGTTCTAGTTTAAATTTTGTATCACAAACAAACAGTATCATGAACAAAGAACATACTCTCCCAACTCAGGTATGTTTTACCTGTCTTTCTAGGTCTTGCCCAAATCCATACCCTTGATTAACTTCCCTTGATTTCTAAGCCCATGTAGTCTTTCTGCTTTTTGGCTACACCTCACATTTTTTTTTTTTTAAATATATTTTATTGATTTTTTACAGAGAGGAAGGGAGAGAGACAGAGAGTTAGAAACATCGATGAGAGAGAAACATCTATCAGCTGCCTCCTGCACATCTCCTACCGGGGATGTGCCCGCAACCAGGGTACATGCCCTTGACCGGAATCGAACCCGGGACCCTTGAGTCCGCAGGCCGACGCTCTATCCACTGAGCCAAACCGGTTCGGCTACACCTCACATTTGACATGCATCTTGTTCTCCATCTGCTAGATATAATGTTTTTGTCCTTTTTTCTTATGCATTTTTCTATCCCCAGAGCTTTTTTCATGATATCACTTTTATTTTTTTAGCATTTGGTATTTGAACCAAATTGCTATTAATATTTCTGAGATACTAGAATGATTTTAAACTTTCTGGTGTGTCTTTCCATGCCTTGTAGGTCCCTATCATTGTAACCATGCCAGAAATGACAGAAAATGAGACTCCTACAAAAAAGCAGCACAGGTATGTAGCCGCAGTTCAAAAATAATATAGTTTTAGAAGATAAGAAGCAGAATTAGTCCCTACTTTATTAAATAGGTAATCCTTAGGGAACTTTCATTTGGCTGCCTAGAAAATCATTGCTCTTTCAAAATATGTGTGGATAGATAGAAATCGCTTTATAGAAAGTGGTACATAGTTTACATTTACCTGTTCTTATTCTGCCAGCAGTGTAACAAGTGTAATACCAAATCTATTCTAAATGTTTAGTTTCTTTTGAAAGTTTTTACTCGAAACAGGATTAGTCTTTGTAGATCCTAAGCTCACGCAGTCTAAAGTCAGCTTGAATAGACATTTTGTGATATTAGAAACCATTATGTCAGTATGCATATCAGTACAATATTATTTTTGGTTCTTTTATTTTTTTAGCATTTGGTATTTGAACCAAATTGCTATTAATATTTCTGAGATACTAGAATGATTTTAAACTTTCTGGTGTGTCTTTCCATGCCTTGTAGGTCCCTATCATTGTAACCATGCCAGAAATGGATTTTACCCCCTTCTGGATTTCTACCATTTTGGCCAGTATTTCTCCTTAGAATTACATGGCCAATATTACCATTAATTTTTAAAAAATATTTTTATTGATTTCAGAGAGTAAGGGAGAGGGAGAGAGAGATAGAAACATCAATGATGAGAGAATCATTGATCAGCTGCCTCCTGCATGTCCCCCCTTGGACCTTACCCTCCCCCCTCCCCCGCCCCTCCCGGCCCCGGTCCCCTGGGGATCGAGCCTTCAACCCAAGCATGTGTTCTGATTGGGAATCAAACCATGACCTCCTGGTTCATAGGCCGATGCTCAACTATTGAACTCCACTGGCCAGGCTGCTTCCAATAATATTAAAATCACTATTCTCTTTTTTTACCCAATAGCTGTTAGAAAATGTTAATGTGTTGAATAATGGTACCTGAAAGGGAAAAATCAATCTTTTTAATAGATTAGCTTTTAATAAAATTTAAGGGTTTGGATAACTTAAGGTACATAATTGCAAAAGATGGCTGAAATGCCACTTGTCAGTGCTGGTGGCTGCCATAGTTCCCTTCCTGGAGATTTCCAGGTTCCTCCCTGCTGTTGCTTATCTTCTTTACACACTCACCTCCACCTCAGCCTGGGTGCCAGGCAAACATCAGAAATCACCTACTTGTGCCTTGGCTGGTGTCCTCAGTGTATAGTGTCGGCCTGCGTACTGAAGGATCTCAGGTTCAATTCCTGGTTAACACATTGTATGCGGGAAACGTATTTATACATTTTACGTTGACTGTAGTAGTAGAGCGCGGGACACATATTAATACGTTTTTTATAGACTAGCGGTAGAATGCGGGTAACGTATAAATACGTAAACTAAAGTTATCGTAATTTTACTGAACGTTGCCATTTGCGCAAAAAATTAGCAAAAATGGCCTGCGCCACCTGTTAGCGCGCGATAAAAACTACCCGCAAACAATGTGTTAAAGGCACAAAGCTGGGTTGCAGGTTCCATCCCCACCCCCAGTCGGGTGGGTGCAGGAGGCAACCAATCAATGTTTCTCTCTTTCTCTCCCCTTACCTCCCTCCTACTCTCTCTAAAAAAAGAGAAGTCACCTACTTGACACATTGAGTGTTGACTAGTTCCTTAATTACATTTTTCAAATAGTTTTTGTTGATTTGCTTCCTGACCAATGGCTTGTGGGTGTGTAAGAATAGAGAATTGTAATTACTTTCAGAAATTGTGGATTCTAAATTTATATTGATACTAGGGGCCCGGTGCACGAAGTTCATGCACTGGGTGGGGGGGGGGGACCCACAGCCCAGCCTGCCCCCTCTCACATACTGGGAGCCCTCAGGGGATGTCCTACTGATGGCATAGGCCCGCTCCCTGCTCCCCTTGGGGAGCGGGCCTAAGCCACAGTCTGGCCTCCTTTTGTGGGAGGCGACCGGGCTGATCAGGGGAAGGCACCAGCCCCATCACCCCACTGCTGCAGCCACTGCCAGTCACCGCAGCCACCAAGGTGTTTTCATCAACACGGACTCCAGTCCCTTCACCATGAAAAAATGACAACTTTCTTTAGGCATTTTCAAGATGTGTCTTTCATAGGATATGACATTTTTTTCTTTTTTTTTTATCCTCATCTGAGGATATGTTTCCAGACTTTCAGAGAATGTGGAAGAGAAAGGGAAAGAGAGAGAGAAACATCAAAGTGAGAGGAACACTTTGATTGGTTGCCTCCTGCATGAGCCCTGACCTGGGCCCCGGCCAGGAAGAAGCCTGCAACCTAGGTACATGCTCTGATGGCTGGTTCCGCCCCTGCCCAGTCCTAAAGCCTCTGGCCAAGGCTTTAGGCTTGAGCAGGGGGCCCCTTGACTCCGATCGCAGGTTTGGCCCTGCCCAGGAGCCCCCTGACTCAGGCCCTTCCTAGGCTGCTCAGAGCCCACATGGGGCCTACCTCAGAGTGATCTCAGTGCCGATGATATTCCCGGGACCCAGGCCACTGGGCACTTACGTATGCAAATTAACCGCCATCTTTGCTGGGTTAATTTGCATAGTCACTCTGATTGGCTGGTGGGTATAGCAGAGTAACACCAATTTGCATGTTTGTCTATTATTAGGTAAGATATCTGCAGTTAAGTTTACATACCATCCTATCTAATAAAAGAGAAACATGATAATTAGCCGTAAGTCCGCTACCCTTCCCATTGGCTAATCAGGGCGATATGCAAATTAACTGCCAGCCAAGATGGCGGCCGGCAGCCAGGCTACTGACATGAACAGGAGGCTTGCTTGCTTCAGTGACGGAGAACTCCAATGTTCTCCGTCTGCCGCTGCTGGGCTCTGAGCTGCTAAGAAACATTGTTACAAATATAGAAACTAAAAAAACCCCCAGAAACCTGTTTTCAGTCAGCCGGGATCTTAGAGCTGGAGTCACAACAAAGTTTCAACTACAGAAAGTAAACAAAGCCAGAAACCTGCTTTCAGCAGCGAGGTCTCACAGCTAAAGTGGGCTCTCAGCTCCAGTAACAGCCATAAATCCAAGAATTAAAAAAAAAAAAAGGCAAAAAGGAGCGGTTGGGAGCTTCAGTCACCCGCCAGCCTGAAAACGGCCCTCAGCCCCTCACCCAGACTGGCCAGGCACCACAGTGGGGACCCCCACCCTGAAGGGGGTGTGACCAGATGCAAACAGCCATCATCGCCTCATCTAGGCTGGTCAGGCACCCAAGCGGGCCCCCCACCCTGATCCAGGACACCCTTCAGGGCAAACCAGCCGGCCCCCACCTGTGCACCAGGCCTCTATCCTATATAGAAAAAGGGTAATATGCCTCCCAGCACCGGGATCAGCGGAGCTGCGAGGCCTCCTGGCCCCTGGAGCAGCGTGACAGGGGGCAGCGCCCAAATCCCCTGATCGCCCTGCGGCTCTGTGTGTGACGGGGCGGGGCCACAACCTCCCTATCCGCCCTGCTCTTTTTGTGACAGGGGAAGGCGCCCCAACCTCCTGATCAGCCCTGCTCTGTGCCTCATAGTGGGGAGCTCCCCAACCCCCTGATCGGCCCTGCCCTGAGTGTGACAGTGGCAGCACCCCAACCCACTGATCGGCCCTGCTCTGTGGGTGATAGAGGGCAGCGCCCCAACCGCCCCCCACGGGCCCTGCTCTGTGTGTGACGGGGTAGAGCCATAACCTCCCCATTGTCCCTGCCCTGAGTGTGACAGTGGCAGCACCCCAACCCACTGATCGGCCCTGCTCTGTGGGTGATAGAGGGCGGCGCCCCAACCTCCCCCCACGGGCCCTGCTCTGTGTGTGACGGGGTAGAGCCATAACCTCCCCATCGCCCCTGCCCTGAGTGTGACAAGGTGCGGTGCCCCAACCCCCAGATCCGCCCTGCTCTGTGTGTGACAGGGGGCGGTGCCCCAACTCCCCAATCAGCCCTGCTCTGAGCCCGACCAGGGGCTGCACCTAGGGATTGGGCCTGCCCTCTGCCACCCGGGAGCAGGCCTAAGCCAGCAGGTCGTTACCTCCCAAGGGGTCCCAGACTGCGAGAGGGCATAGGCCGGGCTGAGGGACCCCCCCCCACCCCCCCCCGAGTGCACAAATTTTTGTGCACCGGGCCTCTAGTAATATATATTAAGCAAATTTTTTTAGATAGTTTCTTATTGATGCAACAAATACAAATTCATAAAATTGATTTTTATGTTTCTCAAAATGTAAAGTGGTGAAAACGGTTTTCTATTATTTTCATGTTCCTTTTATCTCCGCTTTTTGTTTCAGAAAGAAAAACCGGGAGACACACAATGCAGGTAGAAGCAGCAATTTAAATTTCATTTATTAACATTTTTGTATTCAAAATGAAATTATACTACAGTTGATTATAAGCTTTTATACTATATGTATAGAATCATTTTAGAAAAGTCTTTCTTTCTTATTTTTAATTGACTGAACAACCTTGCAACTCATGAAGATGGCTTGCTTATCATCTTCTGATTTATTGTCTGTTTAGATAATTTAAGGGTTAATATACCCCTGGAGCTAGTGTGTTAAGTGATTTCACTCACTGAGTGATTTTAGTATTTTGAGTGATTCCAGATGTACTTTTCCTAAATAGAAAGTAGAGTATGTGTCTTTGAAGAAATTCCACAGGGAGCTGGCTGCCTAGAGGAATAGGAAAGAGATGAGCAGCAGGGTGTAGATCTTAAAGGTACTTAAAATGTGAACAGTCTTAAGTTGTGAAGTCCTAAATTATAGGAAGAAGTGTAGAAAATAAATACTTAATTTTATCTCAAACACGAAAATTATAGGCCAAAGCCAGATAAAATGTATAGAAGTAATTGCACATACATTTACAATTTGGTACATTTTATAACATTTATTTTCTATCAGAGACTTCACTGAAATCAATCTAAAAAAAATAGAAGTTAATTTCTGTTATCTATATTATAATTGATATCTTCCTTTTGCTAAGTAAAGAACCATGGGGAAAATTTTAACTATGGAGAGAAGTGTTGACCACTGTGGGATATTGCTGTTGCCCAGAAGGGAGTTGACTGCCTTTAATTCCCCTTTATCACTGTGGGTAAAGAGTCTTAATGTTGTGGTTGTTTTTACCTCCCCACATTAAAAAGTCCGCTCCTAGATAACAACAGATACTATTGTTAGAGAATTCAGAAGAAAGGTGAACTATATGTATTGCGTTTCTTTTTTTTTTTGGCCATATGAGTTTAATCTCTTTCAGATATATGACCTAAATCAAGCATGTCAAACTCAAAGGCTAACACGGGCCAAATAAAAAAGGTTTAAGTTTATCTAGGCTGCAAAAAACAAAAGCTTCAATTTTCATAGAAACATAGGTTTATTTTCGATAGGGACATGCTAAATACAAAAGGCTGAAATCAGTGAGTTATTAACATAAAATAATAGAACATTTTAATAAAAATTAATATTTTTTCGTGAACATTAACTTACCAGACACTGAATAACTGCATAAATTAGTAAGCATAATGCAAATAAACCTATTTTTCTTGTTCTCCAAAAGCGAGGTATTTCCTGTTGCCCACACCAAATAAGTCAGTCCAAGACTAACGACGTGGCAATGGGCTGCTAAAATACTCGCTGCTGGTATTAGTGGAGAGAAATGGTGTGCCTGCGTGTAAAGCACGTAAGAGAAATGAATGCAACACGATTATAGTAATCAGTCATTAGTGAATGTTGTAATTTATTATTAATAATTATGTATAACAGGATATTGTAAAAATTAAGTTATGAAATTTTTATTAAAACGTTTCTTATATACCGTTATATTGGCTGGGCCACAAAAATATTCGTTGTGGGCCGCATGTGGACCGTGGGCCACAAGTTTGACATGCTTGACCAAAATGTTTTAATGGTGTCAGCTGTCACATGGTGCCATAAATATGTTCTGATAGTAATTTATTCAGAATGATTAGATATCATTGAAAAGGATGTCCTTACTGCTAGATTCTGAAGCAAAAAGAATATCTTTTGCAAAGCAAGACCTACCTATGCTACAATTTGAAAGATCATCCTTTTAGAAGCACTGGAATCTTATTAGACAGGAAGATTTTAGAAAACTTTCTCACAGAGAATAGCCAAGACCAATGTTTCTACTAACAGTGTCTTATAGAAATTATTTAGATAATGTCTTGTATCCTCTTTTATTTTTTAAAATATATTTTTATTGATTTCAGAGAGGAAAGGAGAGGGAGAGAGAGAGAGAAACACTAATGATGAGAATCATTGATCAGCTGCCTCCTGCAAGCCCCCTACTGGGGAATGAGCCTGCAACCCAGGCATGTGCCCTTGACCGGAATTGAACCTGGGACCCTTCAGTCTGCAGGCCAATGCTCTATCTACTAAGCCAAACCAGCTAGGGCTCTTGTATCCTCTTGATCCTTCTATACAGCTTTTAAAGTTGTAGCACATAAACCAGAACATTTCCCAGTTCATTGAGAAGTTGTCAGATACCCAATTTCTTGGATGGGAAAATTTCTATGTGGCCAAAGTGAACAACCCAGACCTCATAGAAAAGGCCAAACCACTGCCTTTTCTTGTCTATTTTAAGTTATAACTGCTAGCTGTTTCTATTCCACAAATGTTCTCTAGTCATCCTAATCTGTTTAGAAAGGTCTCATTTGCCCGTCTGCTATAAAGAGGCAATTTTCTAGTAACTTAGCTTATTAGTGGGTTCTTGAAATTTGGTTGTTAAAATCTCTCATACATGCCCTAACCAGTTTTGCTCAGTGGATAGAGCGTCGACCTGCGGTCAAGGGCATGTACCTTGGTTGCGGGCACATCCCCAGTAGGAAGTGTGCAGGAGGCAGCTGATCGATGTTTCTCTCTCATCGAAGTTTCTAACTCTCTTTCCCTCTCCCTTCCTCTCTGTAAAAAATCAATAAAATATATATTTTAAAAAATCTCTCATAATACTTGAACTACAATATAATTGCCTAACAGTAATATAATATTAGCAATTTCTGTTTATAATTTGAATTTATTTTAGATCTCATTTTTTAAAGTGCTAATAAAAGTATGGCCTATATCAATTTTCATAACACTAGACTTAAAATCTGACACTTAGAAATCTTACTATAGTTAGTAGATACTATTTGATAAGATTTTCTTAGGTTTTTCTTTGCCTAAAATTTCTTTACTAGGGAGAATGAAGCAAATTGTCTGTAGGTTTGATAAATGGATTTTTCCCCCTTTCTAGTGGAGAGGCATAGGAAGAAGAAAATCAATGCTGGGATTAACAGAATAGGAGAGCTGATCCCATGTTCCCCTGCGCTGAAGCAGGTAAGAAATCCCCTTATTTTTATCCATAACTTGTGTACAGATAATCCCCTATTGTTTCAAAGGTTATTCTTGTTCCCTGTCATTAATAGTTTTTTGGAGTTAATAATTATCTCATGTTTTTTCATTTTCTTAAGTTTCTGTATGGCTATGTTTAATTCTTCCCTCAGTCTTCTAGTACAGTTTCTACATGATCAAATGGACCATATCATTTCTAGATCTTTAAAATCTTAAGTTATTCAGTCCCATGATTACATGTATACTAGTATGTATGCAACTGTGTTTACTAGGCATTTCTTTTATTTTCTCCAATCATGTTCTTTACTATCTTAAATTCTTACCTAGAATATTCTAAGGATCTCTTCTTTATTTTGTTCTCCTCAGCTTATTTAAGCTGACAGTTTTCTCTAAGTTTTTTGTTTCTTCTGATAATGAGGATAAAGCCTGCTCACTGAAATCAAAACAATAAAAATGGAAACAATATGGAAGGCATAAAAAGTTTAAAAAATAAATTGAATACTGCCAACAATTAAAAAAATCTTAAAAAATAAGTTAAATAAATAAATTGACATCCTACACTCAAGTTATAATCACTGCTAAAACTTGTTACACATCTCTTTTTTTTTTTTTTTTTTTTAAAGGGCTTTGGCAAGGAAAGTGAATTTTTTTTTTTTAATATATATTTTATTGATTTTTTACAGAGAGGAAGGGAGAGAGATAGAGAGTTAGAAACATCGATGAGAGAGAAACATCGATCAGCTGCCTCCTGCACATCTCCCACTGGGGATATGCCTGCAACCCAGGTACATGCCCTTGACCGGAATCGAACCTGGGACCTTTCAGTCCGCAGGCCGACGCTCTATCCACTGAGCCAAACCGGTTTCGGCTACACATCTCTTTATACATTGCTTTGTGAATATGTCTGTGTAGTTTCACAACCTGCTTTGTATTTTCACTCAGTGGTACATAGTAGACTTAGCTGTAGATACCTTTCCTCATGTGTTGTAACATTTTACTGGTTATATAGTACTAGAGGCCTGGTGCACAAAAATTTGTGCACTCGGGAGGGAGGGGGGTCCCTCAGCCCGGCCTGTGCCCTCTTGCAGTCTGGGACCCCTCGGGAGATAACGACCTGCTGGCTTAGGCCTGCTCCCAGGTGGCAGAAGGCAGGCCCAATCCGTAGGTGCAGCCCCTGGTCGGGCTCAGAGCAGGGCTGATTGGGGAGTTGGGGCGCCGCCCCCTGTCATGCACAGAGCAGGGCGATCGGGAGGTTGTGATGCCACCCTCAGTCACGCTCAGGGTAGGGCTGATTTGGGGGTTGGGGCACCGTCCCCTGTCATACTCAAGGCAGGGTCGATGGGGAGGTTGCGGCGCCACCCCCTGTTACACACAGAGCAGGGCCAGTCGGGGTTGGGGCACTGCCCCCTGTCACTCACAGAGCAGGGCCCATCAGGGGGGTTGGGGCTCTGTGCCCTGTCACGCACAGAGCAGGGCCAGTCAGGGGGTTGGGGCGCTGCCCCCTGTCACACACAGAGAAGGACCCATCAGGGTGTTGGGGCGCCGCCCTCTATCACCCACAGAGCAGGGCCGATCAGGGGGTTGGGGTACCGCCACTGTCACACTCAGGGCAGGGCCGATAGGGAGGTTATGGCTCTACCCCATCACACACAGAGCAGGGCCTGTGGGGGGTGGGTTGGGGCGCCGCACCCTGTCACACACAGATCAGGGCCGATCAGGGGGTTGGGGCGCCGCACCCTGTCACACACAGAGCTGCAGGTCGATCAGGGGGTTTGGGCGCTGCCCCCTGTCACGCTGATCCTGGTGCCGGGAGGCCTCGCGGCTCCGCTGATCCCGGTGCTGGGAGGCATATTACCCTTTTACTATATAGGGTAGAGGCCTGATGCATGGGTAGGTGCCGGCTGGTTGCCCTGAAGGGTGTCCTGGATCAGGGTGGGGGTCCCCACTGGGGTTCCTGGTCAGCCTGGGTGAGGGGATGATGGCTGTTTGCAGCTGGTCACACCCCCTTCAGGGTGGGGGTCCCCACTCGGGTGCCTGGCCAGTCTGGGTGAGGGGCTGAGGGCTGTTTTCAGGCTGGGGGTGACTGAAGCTCCCAACCGCTCCTTTTTTTCTTTTTTTTATTCTGGGCCAGCTTTAGCTTTGAGGCTTGGCTCCAGATCTTAGGCCTCCGCTGCTGAAAGTAGTTTTCTGGCCTTTGCTTACAATGTTGCGATCCTGCTGGCTGAAGCCCGGCGGACTAAAGCCGGTTTCTGGGGTTTTGTTTAGCTTCTATACTTGTTACATAGTTGCTTAGAGTTGCAGCTCAGAGGCCTGCAGCGGCAGGCGGGGAACGTTGGAGTCCTCTGTCACTGAAGCAAGCAAGCCTCATGTTAGTTTTAAGCTGCCTGGCTGCCGGCCGCCATCTTGGCTGGCAGTTAATTTGCATATCTCCCTGATTAGCCAATGGGAAGGGTAGCGGTCGTACGCCAATTACCATGTTTCTCTTTTATTAGATAGGATTCCATTGTAATGGGATATCATCATTTGACATAGCCTTTTTAAAATTAATTTCTTTTGTATTATAGTATTTCATGGTTTTTATTAGCATTTCCCTGAATCGAAAGAGGTTTTAAGCTAGTTTGAAAAACTATTTTTCTTTTTTACATTTTAAATGAGTATTTGTATATACTCTTTTTTCATGTAGCGCCTATTCTAGTTTTTGACCCATTTTTCTAGTGGGTTTTCTTTTTTTAAAAAATTGTATTAAATTTATTGGGGTGATCATTGGTTAATACAGTTATATATTTAATTAAATTAATAGATGCACCAGTTAATATATACGCAGCAAATAGCACCAAAAACCTTAAAACAACAACAGATATTGGTCTCCTGCCTACTACTTCCCAATTCTAATGTAGCTCCTTAGAGGCAATCATTCTCAACTGTTTCTTCTGGTATTTACCTTTCTATTTCAAAATAACATGCTTATATTATTATATCTTATTTTGCATTTTGTATATTGTCCATTAACTTCCTCTTACGCTTTTCCCTTGAGTAATCCAATGTAATTCTACCATAACTTTTGATTAAATTGGCATTCAGTTTTTATGTTATGAAGACGGTCTAAATATTGTGTATGGTTGAGTCAACAAGTATACTATATTATGTTTCATTTCGTATGCAACTTTTTTTGAGTTAATAATTGCCTCATTATTTCACATTTGCTTAATTTTCTATATACCTCTCTTTAATTTTTCCACACTTCCAACAGTCTCTTAGTACAGTTTCTACCTGGTCAAATGTACCACATAATTTCTTTTTACCCTTTTTTTCCTTTGAAACTATACTTCTGGAGCCCTCTACCCTTTCTTTTCTATCTCAGTTGGTTGGTCTCCTTTAACTCTTCTGTTTTAATTTCAGCAGCAAAACACTCACCTCTACTGAAACAGGTGGATAAGGAAAACATACATTTATATAAAGAACTGAGTGTAATATTCCAAGCAAATCCTATATAATAGAAGAGAAACATGTAAATTGACTGTTCTCATAATTATTGCTCCATATTTTTAATTTCCAAGAGCCTTTTTTCTTATTCTTTTTGTTTCTTTTCATGCCACATGTTTATTTCATGGAGATAATATCATCTCATCTATGAGAATGTTATAGGGTTTTTAAAAAATATTTTCTGTGTTAACTTTGTATCTTCTGATTTTTTTTTTTTTAGTTAATACTCACCTGAGGATATTTTTCCATTAATTTTTAGAGAGAATGGAAGGGCGAGGGAGACATAGAGGGAAACATTGATGTGAGAGAGACATGGATTGGTTGCCCCCTCCTGCACATGCCCCGACCAGGGCCAGGGATTGCACTTGCCTTTGACCAGAATCAAACCCGGACCCTTCAGTCCTTGGGCCAATGCTCTATCAACTGAGCAAAACCCGCAAGGGCCCGATTTCCCATTTTTACCACCACCTCCTTAACCTTTTACTTGGCTAGTATTATGGAGAAAAAAGATGCTTACATATTTTCCAGTATCAAGTATCATTTTTATAAACTTTCAGTACCTGTGACAGATTAGGAACCTCGACGAATGTTTGTCTTTCTGTTTGGAGACTTTCTTGAAATGTTTAGTGATACTTAGTTGTTTTTTCATATTTGAGAATGAGACATTAAAAAGCTGATTGGCTAAGCTTGTCTGTTCGTAGCTCTGAGTGTTGAGTGATTAATTGGTGAATGAGTGTTGTTGTTGTGAAACTCAAAAATATCAGTATTTGTTGCTTTTTTTGTTTGTTTTGGGGGTAGCTATTAATTTTTTTTTTCCAGAGCAGAATTCTTGAGCCCTGTACCTAGGCGTGGGAACGGTTGGAAGAGCGTGAGGCTAGTTGCTATTATTCTGGAAGCTGAGTCAGGGAAGTGAGTGCTTTAGGAGGCGGTTTGACTTCACTCTGGTTTTCACTCAGGAGCCTCATCGTGTGTTCACTTCTGTGCCAAGTATCCCTGAGGCTGAAATTCTCTGGTTACACTTCACAGAAAACAAACTTGTCTCCGGTGGTTGGGGCAGAAAGGGGAAGTCATCCAGCTGCGTGGGGATTGGTTCTTATTACTGCATAAGAAGAGTCCTTCCACCAGCCTCCCAGTTTTATCCCCATACCTTTCATCCCACCTTCGTGGTCACGGAGCTCCCAGTCCTGAACCTCCTGGGCTGTGGCAGAGAGGCCCAGATCAGTTTGCTTCTTCTCCACACTGTCCCCTTAGGAAGGTCTTTCACTCCACTTTCTTTTCATTCTCCCTTCCAGGGTGGTACTTAGTCTTGCATAAATATTTTTTAGTCTTCTTAAAAACACACTTTCAGTTTCTTTAACAAATAGCAAACTTAAGGGCAGACACTATGTCCTCTGACTGTTTTTTTCCTCTACATCTCAATGTATATAGTAGCTGCTCAGTAAATATTTGTGTTTGCCTAGTAAAATCTTATTTTCCTGCTCTTGGCTTTCATTCCTATGAGTGTCTCTGAAAGGAAACCATAATCATTTTGATTTCCTCGGTGTCTTAGACTGTGCAGTGGAAATCAATCTTTGGCTCCCAGAAGCTGAATAGATTAAGATTTCCTGCACTATTGCTGCATGTCTCCACCCCCATCTGAAGTAGAGAGGCAGAAAATGGGCACTGTAAGGCTCTGCCTTTGTCTCAGCTCTTTTTTGTTGTTGTTGTTAATCCTCACCTGAGGATATTTTTTCCATTGATTTCTAGAGAGAGAGGAAGGGAGGGGTAGAAACAGAGAGAGAGTAATATCTATATAAGAGAGACCCATCAATTGGTTGCCTCCCACATACACCCCGACGGGGGCTGGGGATGAGCCTGCAACTGAGATATGTGCCCTTAACTGGAATCGAACCTGTGACCCTTTAGTCTGAGGGCCAATGCTGTAACCACTGAGAAAAACTGGCTAGGGCTGTCTCGACTTTTGAGTTAAGAAAGGACAATATCAGTTTTCTCTCTCAAAAGTGTTTCCTGGGTTACTTTGGTTTTTTGGAGGACTCAGTCTAAGGAACCCAGAATTGTAACTTGCTGAATCAAAGCACTAAATCACCGATTCCTGCATGAAAAGAGTTGTCTAATAAAGTACTGGAGATATTTAATAATGTGCACATGGGAGTGGGAGTTAAACATGCACTGCAACATTTAAAAAATTATTTTCCAATTGCAGTTGGCACTGCAACATTTTTAATAGCTGAAGAATAAAAAACTGAAATGCTTCTTATACAGCTTAAGTATTTATTAGTAATAGACTGGAAATAAAATAAATACAGCATTCAGAAGGTGTAACATAGATACAGAAACCTAAATGCTATATAAAAGTATCTCCAAGGTATATTTTTAAATTTAAAAATAAAGTAATTTACTCTTTATAGTATCCTTCTATCTGGATTTAACACTAGATTGCCCAAGGAAGTCATTTTGACTGCTTTTTAATTTCAATTAGAAAAACAATTATGTATATAAGGACACAATGTCTTAGAATTTTGTGACTTTTTGTACAACATATAAATGCGTTTATTAATAATTGTAGTTACTTCCCCCCTCCTTCATTTCCGGTATATGTATATGTGTTATACCTATATTGCCCAAAAGCAATATAGGTATTTTGACTGCTTGGGGAAATTTTAAATAATCAAATGACTCTTATTATTGAATTGAGTAAATTTCTTATATGACCAGTTCGGCTCTGTATTGAAATAACAGTTTTCATTTTTTTTCGATTACCGTCACATGATAACATACAAGTACATGATAAATTGTCGATACTTGATAAGTTGCAGTTGCTCAATAAGCTAAACTAGTACTTGTTATTTGAATCTTTATGCAGTGATACTTGTTCTAATAAGTTGTTTATTTTATTTCTTTTGCGCCCTAAATTCGTGAAAGAAATGTCGAATAGAAGTGAGTTATTGGAAAAGCTAAGGAACATAAGTGAAGAGTGCTCCGATATTATTCTTTCACAATGCAGTCATTTTGACTGCTTTTGGGCAATATAGGTATATACTAAGTTTCAGTCTTTCTAGTGTTAAACACACACACACACACACATACATACACACACACACACACACACACACACACACACACACATGGGCATAGAACATTTTGGAAGGGTACACAAGTCACTTTACAGTGGTGGCCTCTGGAAAAGGGTCTGGAAGGTTAAAGCCAAAAGAAATATTAGCTTTCATTATATATCCCTTCAGATTGTTTAAATTTTTTTGCTATATGCACATATTGTGTTTTCACTTTTTAAAATTATTAATTAAGAATAAAGCAGCACTTTGACATAAAATACAATCTTTTCAAAAAGCTTAGGAATGGAATATACTGGGAGCATGACACCAAAACTCAGTCAAGTAACATTGTAGTTTTGGCTGACAGAGTAAAGAATAACATTAAATTAATTTAAAGTCTTTAAATGGTCTTTAAGGCTCTCATTGGCCTCTTCTTTTACTACTCTTCTCCTATGTACTTTAATTGGCTCATCTGCTTACTGTTCCTCCAACACGCCAAGCACAGCTCTGCCCGAGAGCCTTTGCTCTTACTGATCCTGCTACCTGAATCCTCTTCCTCCTGATACCTATAAGGCATATACTTTTTGTACCTCCTTCATGTTTGTACTTAAATATTGCCTTACAGCCCTAGACGGTTTGGCTCAGTGGATAAGAGTGTCAACCTGAGGACTGAAGGGTTCTGGGTTCTATTCTGGTCAAGGGCACGTGCCTCTGTGTCAGGCTTGATCCGTGGCCCAGGTCGTGGAGAATGTGGGAGGCAACCAATCAATGTCTCTCTCACATTGATGTTTCTCTCTCTATCTCTCCCCCTCCCTTCCACTCTGTCTAAAAATTAATGGAAAAATATCCTTGGGTGTGGATTTAAAAAAAAAGAAAGTTACCTTACAGAGAGGCCTTCCTCAGCCTCTCTATACAAAATAGATTATAACAGAGTGTCTTAGTCATTTGGGGCTGCTATAAGACAATTCTCATAACTGGGTGGCTTAAACAACCAAAATTTATTTCTCACAGTTCTAGAGGATGGGAAGTCCAAGATCAAGGTACTAGCCAATTCAGTTCTTGGTGTGGGCTTTCTTCCTTACTTCGTCCTCACATGACACACAGAGAGAGCACTTACCTTCCTCATGTTTTCTTCTAAGGGCATCTCATATGAAGGGTCTACCCTCATGACCTAATTATCTACCAAAGGCCCAATCACCAGCTACCATCACAGCTGGGATTAGAGTTTCAACATGAATTGTGGGGGGACACAAACATTCAGTACATACACAGAGTAACCTCTGCCATCTCTCTGGCCGCTTCTTACTCTGCTCTATTTTTCCCCCCACAGCATTTTATTCATATATATGTATAAAATTCCTCAAATTCAGGAACTTTTTCTGTTTTGTTTATAATATCCCTAGTGCCTAGTACAGAGCCTGACACATAGTTGATGCTCAATAAATACTTATTAAATGAAAGATAAATAGTAGATGCTTTTGAATATTGGTGAATTTAAAACATTTTTCAAGATACATATCACATATCCTATGTAATAACAGCCTAATATGCTAAGTGTCTGACTGTTTGTTCGACCTGTTGCTATGATGCACACTGACCACCAGGGGGCAGACGCTCCGACTGGTAGGTTAGCTTGCTGCTGGGGTCTGGCCAATCGGGACTGGGCGAGACAGGCCAGACATGCCCTGGAGCCCTCCCGTGGTCCCTCTCCGGCTCCAGTTGTGCACTGGTGGGGTCCTTTGGCCTGGCCTGTGCCCTCTTGCAATCTGGGACCCCTCGGGGGATGTCAGAGAGCTGGTTTCGGCCCAATACCCACAGGCCAGGCCGAGGGACCCCATCAGTGTATGAATCCATACCCTGGGCCTCTAATATATGATAAAACCAACACTTTAAGTTTCTTTGGCAAGGTCTAAAAATGAAGACCTTTTAAATGGTTAATTTTCTTTGGCAGAGCAAGAATATGATCCTGGACCAAGCCTTTAAATATATAACAGAATTGAAAAGGCAAAATGATGAATTCCTGCTTAATGGAGGAAATAATGAACAAGGTAAATATTTTTTCTTTTTGTTTTTTCTCCCCCAGTGTTTAGACCTTTGCATCACAGTGCAAATTATATTAGGATACAGAAGGCTTTTTGACAACAAACATTATTAAGACCATGCATTCAGTGGATCTGGGAGAATAGTGTTGCAGATAAATTCATCTTAATGAGCAATTCTAAATCTTGCAGGCATACATAACTTTGATTTTGGACTTGTCTGTACTTTTCATGTTTGCTTAACTTATGATATAAGTAATGCTAGATCTCCTTTATTCTAGTTTAATCATCCAACTAGGAGGAGCTTATAAGAGGATATAGAGGGATCCTGCTTAGTGTAACTAAAAACAAGATAAAGATATGCCTGTGCCAAGACTTAACTGTGAATTTGCTCAAAAGGCCAAACCCTCAGTTCATGATTGTTTATATTACATGTAATGTGCACATCAGACTGCCTGATAATTTAGTAATATTTGATCTTGCTCTGGCCGGTTTGGCTCAGTGGATAGAGTGTTGGCCTGGGGACTGAAGGGTCCTGGGTTCGATTCCAGTCAAGGGCACATGCCTGAGTTGCAGGCTCGATCCCTAGTGGGGAACATGCAGGAGGCAGCCAATCAATGATTCTCTCTCATCATTGATGTTTCTGTCTCTCTCCTCCTTTCCCTTCCTCTCTGAAATCAATAAAAAATACATTTAAAAAATAATATTTGATCTTTAGATAGAGGTGAGTCTTTCTATGTTATCAAATGAACCTCTTTTTCCACTTGAACTAGAGAATGGGTTTCCTTGTAACAGCTGAAAAGAAGAATATCACAGGCAAGTATAAAGCTCAGAGTGGTAGGCCACTGACAAGAGGAGAGAGACAATTTCCTGTGACACCTCAGAAGGTCACATTTAAAGGAGAGAAACAAGGCAGAATTTGTGGGGCAATGCTGGGCTGTTATAAGAAGCGGGAAGGATATTGGAGACCATACTTGAAGGTTAGCTTCAGAATTTCAATTAGATAACAACTTATCCCCTCAACTAGCTCAGTTGTCTTTATGGCCCAGGCCCTGGTTATGATGCTGTCAGGTAGTTAGATATATAATATATGTTTGGTACCCATTTTGAGGCACCCTATAAAATGGTTTGTAGACTTTTCTAGTGAGAGCTTCTTTTATTTTACAGCCCAGAGGCTGAAGCAGTCAAGTTACCTTAGGAAAAAGGGAAACTATTGAAAAAATACACGTTGCATGAGGCCCAGGAAAAGCTGAACAGTCAGGCCAGGGGTCGGAGCAGCGAAGGAGGCAGCTTCAGTGTGACTACTTGTCATCTCCGTCATCATCCTTTCTTTGGTGCTTTTTTGTGCATCTGCTCTCTCTTCTTCTTCCAACAGTTTTCTCCACGTACTCACGGTCCACATGACAATCTAGAACAGTGGTCAGAGCAGTGGTCTTGGGAGTCAGGCCACCTGGGTTTGTGTCCTGGTTTCATTTATCACTCAGTACCTCTCGTCAGTTACTTAATTTCTCCAAGTTTCAATTTCCTTATCTTAAAATGAGGATAATTATAGCATCTATCTGGTTGACTTTAGATAGATTATATAACTACTCTGAGCCTGTTTCTCACATCTGAGAATGAAGACGACAATAGGTAGTTCCCATCTCATGGTTGTTATGAAGATTAAAAGAGATAATTCTGGCAAAGCACTTGGAAGTCTGGGACTTCAAGTAAATGCTTGATAAATATTATGTTATGATTGTTGTTATTGTTATTAAATGAGACAGTGAATGAAAAGTCCCAGGCATATAGTAAGTGTGCAGTAAGTGAGAACAACCATTATTATTTGGTCTATAATAATTATTTTTAAATTTCTAATGTCCATGGCACATTGACATCTTTTTCCTGTGTCTCTTAGTTTAAATATCCAAGGAAATAATTTTCTAGTTTCAGCTCATCCTTGTCAGGACAGACTGTTCATTTCAGGCTACCTCATAGGGCAGCCTGAGGATTGGCTGCCTTTGGCAGAGGGAATGGGAAGAGTACCCTTGAGGCAAGACAGGTAGGGATATACGGGGTCACAGAGCATAAATAGTAGCAGCCCAGGCTGCCCCATTAGTAGGATCCAAGGGTGAGGCTGTCTTCCTTAGAAAGGAACAGGGCTGTGACAGACATCTCCATTACTTAGTAGGGTAACATACATCGTCCCTGCCAAGGAAAATGCAAGTTCCATTGTTGACGCTTTCCTCCATGTTCTATCACTTTATTTCTTACATGTTCTACTTGTTCTCTGTTGTTTCAATGGCTAAATTAGAAATGAGTTTAATGCCATTTATAAAAGAGACTATTATCACCATAAGTAATGTTAGCTATTGTAGCATTTAATACTGTGATATTGATATTCACTGTTATTTTCCTAGCATGTTACCATGATATCAGTATGTTTCCCTTGCTTTACCTTTGTAGCTGCCCTATTGGGAATTTTTGAATTGGGGATTTTCAGATTTCTACATTATGAGTAATTTTTAAAAATAATATTTTTTTTTTATTTCAGAGAGGATGGGAGAGGGAGAGAGAGAAACATCAATGATGAGTGACAATTATTGATCAGCTACCTCTTGCACACCCCTTATTGGGCATCAAGCCCACAACCCAGACCTGTGCCTCGACTGGGAAAAGAGACCTCCTGGTTCATAGGTTGACACCCAACCACTGAGCCACACCAGCTGGGCTTTTGAGTAATTTTTGACTTTTGAGTTGTTTACCTTTAAAGATATATACTTTTAAAAGATGGGATAGAAGTTTGAGGTACCATTCTAAAAAGAAGAAAGAACTTGTATTAGGAAATAGCTGAAGATTTTCAGTTGAGGTATTTAGAATGCTAGAATTAGATTTCAGTAGTTTTAGTACACAGTTCTTAAAATTATTGTAAATATTGATGTTTACAGGTAATTATTTCATTTTTATTTTTAATATTGCAGCTGAAGAAATTAAAAAGCTTCGTAAACAATTGGAAGAAATTCAAAAAGAAAACGGCCGATATATTGAATTACTGAAAGCAAATGACATATGCTTATATGATGATCCCACAATCCACTGGAAAGGAAATCTTAAAAACTCAAAGGTCTCTGTTGTTATTCCCAGTGACCAGATTCAGAAAAATATTATTGTTTATTCCAATGGGAGTCAGCCTGGTGGCAACAGCCAGGGAGCAGCTGTTCAGGGGATAACCTTTAATGTTGGCCATAATTTACAAAAGCAAACCGCCAATGTGGTGCCAGTGCAGAGGACTTGCAATCTTGTGACTCCTGTGTCTATTTCTGGAGTTTACCCTTCTGAAAACAAGCCATGGCATCAGACCACAGTTTCTGCATTGGCTGCCAACCAGCCTGTTCCTCTTTGTCTTCCGGCTACCATTCCTGCTCAAAATATTCTCAAGCTTGCCACCTCCAAAAGTGATTCACGTGTGCTTGGTGCCACCAGGGGCTCACTGGTTGCTGTTCCCGTAGGACCTGAACCTTGCCAACATCGGTCCTTGCACACAAGTGTAAATGATCAAAATTCTTCTGAAAATAAGAACGGGAAAGAGAATCCCAAATTATTGAAAAAAACAGTCCCTTGTGCCACAAGCATTCCCTCCAGCTCCACAGCAACTACCACTGAAGTGAACCCTGGAGACAAGTCCTGCCTGAGCACACAGGATTTGAGAAGTGATTTTCAAACCACCTTTGTTGTTTCAGTTACCACGACAGTCTGCTCCCAGCCTCCCAGATCTGCAGGTGATTCCGGTCCAGTGAGCATTAGCAAGGGTGCAGACTCCACAAGCGTTACTGCAGTGGTGGCCCCATCTGTCCCTGGAGGAGGGAAGACCACTGCTCCTGTGAGCAGTCCTTCTGCAAACCCTTTGGATAATGGTTGGACTCTTTCTTGTTCTTTGCCTTCTTCAGCTGTTAGTGCTTCAGATTTGAAAAACATTAATAGCCTTACTCGAATTTCCTCATCTGGAAACACACAGACAACGTGGACTACTTTGCAACTGGCAGGAAACACTATTCAGCCCTTAAGCCAGACACCGTCTTCTGCTGTGACTCCAGTATTAAATGAGTCTGGTACTAGCCCCACCACAAGCAAGCACGGTAGACATATGGCTACAAGCATCAACTTGAATAATTCCTTTCCAGCAGATGGGCAACCAGTTGAGCAAGTAGTTGTAACCTTGCCTTCTTGTCCATCATTACCTATGCAGCCAGTTATTGCCCAGCCACAAGTTAAATCTCAGACCCCCCCAAATATCCTCCCATTGAATTCAGCAATGCAAGTGATTCAGATGGCTCAGCCAGTAGGGACAGCTGTTAAAGCAGCTCCAGCTAATCAAAACGTCATCATTCTTCAGCCACCCAGCACCACTCCATGCCCAACAGTGATGAGGGCAGAGGTTACCAATCCAACTGTAGGTCAACAGATAGTAATCATACAGGCAGCTAATCAGAATCCTTTGCCACTCCTCTCAGCTCCACCTCCTGGTTCTGTTCGACTCCCTGTCAATGGAGCCAATGCTATAATAGGGTCTAATTCCGTGCAAAATGTTCCGACCCCACAAACTTTTGGTGGAAAGCATCTTGTCCACATATTACCAAGACCTTCATCTTTATCAACATCTAATTCAACACAAACTTTTTCTGTTACCATGTCAAACCAACAACAGCCTCAAACCATTTCTTTAAATGGACAGCTCTTTGCTTTGCAGCCTGTGATGTCTTCATCAGGAACTACAAACCAAAACCCTATGCAAATTATTCAGCCCACCACCAGCGAAGATCCAAATACCAATGTTGCCCTGAACACATTTGGCGCTTTGGCCAGCCTCAATCAAAGCATATCGCAAATGGCTGGGCAAAGCTGTGTACAATTGTCTATTAGCCAGCCTGGCAATCCCCAAACTACTGCAAATAGTCAAACCACCCCAGCTAACTGTGCTTCATTAACAGCAACTGTAGCATCTCCCATGACAACAGATACTTCAGCCACACTACCCAGTACTTATAATCTAGTGACTACTCCCTCAGTGAACACTGTAGCTTGTTTGCCTAACGTGAAGTCAAAAAGGTTGGGTAAGAAACCAGGTGTCAAGAAACACTTAGCAGCTAACAAGTCAGTATGCCCCCTGAATCCAATCAGCAATGTGGGCCAGGTGGACTGCCCCAGTACTGAAGGCTCAGCAGAGCCACCATGTAATGATGGACTGCTGGAAAGCCCCCCTCTTGTGGTGCCATCTGTCACTATGTCCCAGGCAAAGAGTACTGTGAGTGTTTCTGGTTCACCTTCTTTGGATGTTCTGAATTCAGAATCAGTGATACCTGAGTCTGTACCCAAATCTAAGTCAGCAGAAGAGTCTAACTCACCCTGTCAAGAATCTATAACAAGTGAACATTTTGCGGTGGCCCCAGCACAATCCAAAGATTCTGTCCCCATACTGCAACGAGAGACGTCTCAGGATAAGCCACCAACTAGTTTGGCATTGTCTGATGCTCCCAAATTTGGTAATTCAGCCAACGTGTTGATTCCATCTCCAAATGATCCCCATGTTTTGGTTTCTCAGGTTTCTGGTTCATCATCTACCACAAGCACTACAAGTACTGACTGTGTTTCTGAGGTAGAAATCATTGCTGAACCTTGCGGAGTTGAGCAAGATTCATCGGATAGAATGCAAACTACAGGTCTCTTAAAGGAACAAGGTTTAACTGCATTGCTGTCTGGTCTTGCTAAAGAAAAAGACCCTCAGAAATCATCTCTTTCAGTCCAGGTGGACCATCCTGACTTTTCTTCAGAAAATTCTAAAATAATTGATTCAAGTATTGATTTGCATTCCAAACAGGAACTGTTACTGATGAACAGTGATGATAGAGATCCAGGACAGCATCATTCCTGCATCCCTGATCAGGAGATTATTCATGGCTCCTTGCTTACCAGCAGGCAGGCTGACTCTCCCATGTCAACCAGCTCGGGCAGTAGTCGCAGTTTCTCAGTTGCATCCATGCTTCCTGAAACAACTAGAGAAGATGTCACCAGCAATGTAACAACTAACACATGTGACAGCTGTACCTTTGTAGAGCAAACTGATATAGTCGCTCTTGCAGCAAGAGCTATTTTTGACCAGGAAAACCTTGAGAAAGGAAAAGCTGGTACCCAGGCTGATACAAGGGAAGTTACTTCAAAGCCTTCTGAAGCATCATCTTTAGAGGGAGACCAGCCTTTTAAAACACAGGTCTCTAAAGAGAATAGCCCAGGTCAGGCAGAAGCAACACCAAATGAATTTAGTTCTCAGGATTCAATTGAAGCAACTGTGGATAGGCCCCTTGAAAAACCAAGTTGTTCGGTAGGAATTAAAACATCAAATGCCTCTTTGCAGGTTTCGAATTCTCAGCCACCAAGCATTACCAGTTTAAGTGTGAATAATCTTATCCATCAGAGCAGCATCAGCCATTCTCTTGTCAGCTGTGCTGGATTGTCTCAGACTTCAGAGTCAACAACTGTTTCTGCTACAGTTAGTCTGACTGTTTCATCTAGTTCCTATGGCGGTCAGCCTCCTGGACCATCTCTGATGACTGAATATTCTCAAGAACAACTAAGCACTATGACTGGTACTGTCCCAACTTCACAGATTCAAGAGCCACTCTTAAAGCCAAGTCATGAAAGCCGTAAAGACTCTGCAAAACGTGCTGTCCAAGATGACCTTCTACTATCTTCAGTGAAACGTCAAAAGCATTGTCAGCCAGCCCCCCTCAGGCTTGAAGGTATGTCCCTGGTTAGCCGAACTCCAGACAGCATTTCTGATCATACTCAAATGATGGTTAGTCAGATCCCTCCCAACTCTTCAAACTCAGTTGTGCCTATTAGCAACCCAGCACATGGAGATGGCCTTACGCGATTATTTCCACCTAGTAACAATTTTGTGGCCCCTGCGTTGAGGCAAACTGAAGTTCAGTGCAGTTCTCAGCCTTCGGTTGCTGAGCAGCAGCAAACCCAGGCCAGTCAACATCTGCAGGTCCTGCAACAGCATGTTCCAGCTCAAGGGGTATCTCACCTGCATAGTAACCATCTCTACTTAAAGCAGCAGCAGCAGCAGCAACAGCAGCAGCAAGCAGGGCAGTTAAGGGAGAGGCATCACTTATATCAACTGCAGCATCACATACCTCATGCAGAGAGCTCTGCCCACTCTCAGCCCCATAATGTCCACCAACAGAGAACTCTGCAACAGGAAGTTCATATGCAGAAAAAGAGGAATCTTGTTCAGGGCACTCAGGCCTCCCAGCTTTCGTTACAACCGAAGCACCATGGAACTGACCAATCCCGACCCAAGAGTGGTCAGCCACATCCCCACCATCAGCAGATCCAGCAACAGATGCAGCAACACTTTGGAAGCTCCCAGTCAGAAAAGAGTTGTGAAAACCCTTCAACTAGCCGGAACCACCCTAACCATCCCCAAAACCATCTCAATCAAGATATTATGCACCAGCAACAGGAGGTTGGGAGCAGGCAGCAAGGCTCAGGGGTTTCTTCTGAACATGTATCTGGGCATAATCCAATGCAGAGGCTCTTGACATCAAGAGGCATAGAGCAGCAGATGGTGTCCCAACCAAGTATTGTGACTAGACCTTCAGACATGACCTGTACTCCACACAGACCAGAAAGAAATAGAGTTTCAAGTTATTCTGCTGAGGCACTCATTGGAAAGACATCTTCTAATTCAGAGCAGAGAATGGGTATATCGATTCAGGGTTCTAGAGTTTCAGATCAGCTTGAAATGAGAAGTTATCTTGATGTACCCAGAAATAAGAGTTTGGCCCTTCATAATATGCAGGGTCGTGTGGACCATACTGTTGCCTCAGATATCCGCCTGTCTGATTGTCAGACATTTAAACCAACTGGAGCCATTCAACAGCCCCAGAGTAATTTTGAAGTTCAGTCTTCAAGAAATAATGAAATAGGTAACTCTGTGTCGTCATTGAGGAGTATGCAGTCTCAGGCTTTTCGAATTAGTCAAAACCCTGGTCCACCACCAGTTGACCGCCAAAAGAGATTACCTTATCCACCAGTTCATAGCATCCCAACAGGAAATGCCATCCCACCAAGGGACAGTGAAAATACATGTCATCAAAGTTTCATGCAGAGTTTGCTTGCCCCTCACCTTGGTGATCAGGTCATTGGGAGCCAGAGACCACTCTCGGAACATCAGAGGAATACACAGTGTGGTCCCTCCCCTGCAGTTGAATATAATTGTCCCCCAACTCATGAAAGTGTCCATATTAGAAGAGAGAGTGAGAATCAGAATAGGGAAAGTTGTGACATGCCCCTAGGTGCAATTAACACCAGGAACAGCACCTTGAATATCCCTTTTTCGAGTTCTTCTTCCTCAGGAGATATTCAAGGTCGAAACACAAGTCCCAATGTTTCTGTGCAGAAGTCCAATCCCATGAGGATCACTGACAGTCATGGGACGAAGGGCCACATGAATCCTCCAGTCACAACCAACATGCATGGGGTTGCAAGGCCAACTTTGCCACATCCATCTGTGTCTCATGGAAATTCTGATCAAGGGCCTCCTGTACGTCAAACTAATTCTTCAGTTCCCCAACGATCAAGGCATCCCTTGCAAGACAGCAGTGGTTCCAAAATTCGTCAACCTGAAAGGAATCGTTCTGGAAATCAAAGGCATAGTAATGTCTTTGATCCGAGTCTTCCCCATCTGCCCCTCTCTGCTAGTGGCAGTATGATTCTTGGACGCCAGCAACCCACTACAGAGAAGAGAGGAAGTATTGTTCGTTTCATGCCTGATAGTCCTCAAGTACCTAATGATAATTCAGCACCTGACCAGCATACACTATCACAAAATTTTGGTTTTCCTTTTATTCCTGAGGGTGGCATGAATCCACCAATAAATGCTAATACTTCTTTCATTCCACAGGTTACTCAGCCTAGCGCCACTAGAACTCCAGCACTCATCCCTGTAGATCCCCAAAATACTCTACCTTCCTTCTATCCCCCGTACTCTCCTGCTCACCCTACACTGTCCAATGATATTTCGATCCCCTATTTTTCAAATCAAATGTTCTCAAATCCTAGCACAGAGAAGGTAAACAGTGGGAGTTTAAATAACCGATTTGGATCAATTTTATCTCCTCCAAGACCTGTTGGTTTTGCTCAACCAAGTTTTCCTCTTCTCCCTGATATGCCACCAATGCACATGCCCAACTCTCACTTATCCAATTTTAATATGACATCTTTGTTTCCAGAAATAGCTACAGCTCTTCCTGATGGCTCAGCAATGTCACCTTTGCTTACAATCGCAAACTCCTCAGCCTCTGACTCTTCCAAGCAGTCCTCAAACCGACCTGCCCACAACATAAGCCATATTTTAGGTCATGACTGCAGTTCAGCTGTTTAAATACTGATAGACTAAGTGTAAATGTCACAGGTGAGATTACAAATGTATTTGTATGTACATGCACACATACATGCACATGGAGAGAGAATTGTGTGTGTATGTTTTTGTGTTTGCATAATCAATTTGCAGTTCTGAATGTAGGAAAGCTGTGTCAAATGATGCGAATACTGGGTTGTCAAAAACAAATTACCTTTCATTTTTAATTGCATGATGTGCTTTTTAAATTTTCCAAGCAGATTCGCATTTTCAAGTTTGATTTTTAATGTTATATTCCCTAAATATTAATTAGCTGGAAGTTGGGGAGATCATCTTGGGGTGTGTTGAATAGTAAGAAGGACCTCGATTTTGAACTTTGTTGTTGAAAATTTGTAAAGTAGTTGAAATAGTTGAGTTGTTCTAAAAAAAAAAAATGCAGATAGTCCCAGAAAACACAATACTCATAACCAAATGCTGGTTGATGTCAGCATCTAGAACAGTTTCTTATCCATGACAGGTATTGAATTAATACAGAATGTATAACCGTGGTTGAAGTCAAGCAAATAAGTGAGTTGTTTAATCAGCCTTTATTCCCAAGATTTGGTTTAGGTAGAGGCTTCTTTCTTAATTATAACAATTGCGTAGTTATCTGAATTTCATGTTCCATTCTTCAAATTAGGAAGCCATGTTATCCTTTAATGTGCCAAGATCCTTAAAGATAGAAAGTTAAAAAGAAAAGTACATAGATATTCTCCATGTTGTAGTTGCATTTTGCATTAGCCCATAAGGATAAGAGCAGTTGGGGAGTTTTGCATGTGTTCAGTTAAAAATTGTTTCATAAGTTGAGTTTTGTTTTTATATTCTCTCTTCATTCTATTTATTGATTTTAAAGTAAATTCTTTTACATTTGTTTAATTGGTAGGGACTGATCAGTAAATAGTGTCTTTGGAATCTACAGAGTATTTGAGCCCTACTTTTTAAATGTTTCTTTGCAAAGTCTTAAGCTCTGTCCTTATTTTCATTTACTGATATTTTTATTTAAAATATGGCATTGTATATTGCATTATTATCCTTCATAGTAGAATTAGAAGAAGATGAATTTGTTCATTATTTTTCCTGATGGCAGATGTGAAATGGTGCTTCAGAAATCGTCTTTATACTAGTATATGTCTGTATGTATGTGTGAGTGTGTGTGTATATACCCAGATTTTAAAGTATAAACTGGTTGTTTAAAAATAGGCCTACCATCAGAAATTGGGAAATTGAGACCCAAGACCTGCTGAAGTATACAGAAACTTGATGTAGGGGCCTTAAAAAGCCCCACTGAGGTTAATAATAAATCTAAAAAAAACATATGTATATATTCATATATTGAATTTGAAAACTTAAACTAAGTCAACAACAATATATGCTCATATTCTCAAACCCACTTCTTTTTTGTTGTTATATTCTGCCAAAACTGGATGGAGTGGGAAAGATGCATAGAAATTGTTCTGTTTTCTCTGTTAACAAAGTGAACCCAAGAACCAGCATTTTTTTTCCTTCTTAAAAAAGCCTCCTAGGGCTTGGTTAGAGCAGTGACTCCAGTGAATACCTCTTCTAAAGACTCAGCAAAAGGGTCATCTGTGCCTCTTCAACTGTTCTCACCAAACTTTCCCATCCGCTCCTGCTGCTGACTGAAGTAGCCTCCTGGGGACAAAAATACTGTAAATGAGAAAAGCTTTTGTATTTTTTCCCTTCAAAATGGTCATGGGGAAGAACAGGAGAGCTTCATGAATAAGTTATTCTGCAAAGCCACAGATAAACGCATCAGTTAAAACTGTTCATTGAGACAAAAATGTGAAATTTATGACTTTTTAAAAAAATCTTAACTGAGTTCTAAGCTTTAACATTCAAGTTTTTCTTTGTACTTGAAAAGTCCAGTCTGCCAGTTTCAAGGACAGTTTTCAGTGTGTTTGATTATTTCTTCTCCCTCCCTCCCTCCCCCTCCGCCGCCGCCTCCTCCTCCTCCTCCTCCTCCTCCTCCTCCTCCTTCTTCTTCTTCTCCTCTCTCTCTCTCTCTCTCTCTCTCTCTCTCTCTCTCTCTCTCTCTCTCTCTCTCTCTCTCTGTCTCTCTCTCACACACACACACACACTACACACACACACACACGCACGCAGTGGCTAGTGAGTTCTGAAGAACTAGGGACTCTTAGATATGATTGGAACTAAGGTAACAAGCTAAGGAGAAGCTCAATTTGAACTCTGTGATGGAAAGGCCTCAAAGCCTGGAACTTTCAGATACTTCTCTGTTGCATTGATTGTATTTTTCTGCTCAGCTCTGTTCAGAGGTAGCATTTACATTTCTCAGAGCTTTCATTCCAGGCATGTAACACATTGATCCTGAATGAGTCTTTATTCCTAATAAGGCTTATTTGACCACCTGAGAAAGGATGTGACCATCTGCAAGTAATTTGGCTCCTGCTTACATGTAGCTCTAATCTTACAGAAATGTGCATATATATGTAAGAGGCCATTTTTCATATGAACTCAATTCTGAAGTGTTTAGAGCATAGTAATCTTATTTGATTTAAAAGCACAAGTGTATGAGATTTATCAGCAGTATTAAGTATTTGATCATTAGAGCTACATGATTTTGGGGTGAATTTATTTTAATATCTATTGATCTCTGGATGTAATATTTGACAAAGGATTGACAGAGAACCATAGCCAATTTTGGTTATAGTAAATTTAATGTTATTCTTGGCTCCTAGTATATGACGATAGAATGTAAAACCATTTCCACAAATAATTTTTTAATTTCTGGAAGTACACAAACTTATGTATGAGATGTAATTGAGAATCATTGATTAAATTAGTTTCTCTTTTAGTGTTGCTAATCACATGGAATCAGTTCCAGAAAGTGGTTGTTTCCTCTAAACATTTCACACAGTAACTTCTAACGAGGTGAAAAGTTTCAGATTTCTCATCGTGTAATTGTTAATATGTCAATCATGGATAAATTAAATTTGATGTATTTTTTTTCTTTTTTGGTACAAACAGGTTGTTTTGGGATGTTTTATACTACTTCAGGAAATTTATTTTTGTTTTTATTGCAAGACCCTTTGGGGATACCAGAGATGGCACCCTTTATCTAAGTAAGGACTAAAAATTCCAGAGTGACCATGCTTTATAAAATTTTATGTATTAGAACTGTGGAGAGAGAAAAATGAGGAGGGAATGTTTTTTTTTTGCAGCAATTTCAGTCACATGTCAGGGTGAACGTCAATGAAGGTCAACTTTTAAAGTCAGTCTTTTAAAATACAAAATTATTTAAACAAAATAATTTAAAATTATTTTAAAGATAATTCATTTGCCTTGTTCTTGCCTTCTAACATTAGCTATTTCCTGGAGAGGCTGAAGTTATACTCCAAAAAAAAAAAAAAAAAAAATATGGAAAGACATTTTAATGGGAGTTAACTTTTAAAAACTTGAGAAAGGATCAAGACTTACAGATATGCATCTTTTTAGCTGTACCCTTCCTTTGATACATAGGTACCTAGGCTCTTAATTTCTTCCATCTGCTCCATGTCAAACAGGTGGCAGGGAATCTGGTCATTTCCTTAGCATGGTGATTACTCCTTTGCCTTGAAACATTTATTGGGCACACCATCTATTGGGTCAGTGTGTGACAGGAAGTCATACTCCCAAATTAGTGATTCCCAATTCCTGGTTTGGGGAACCACTATGTCTCACACTGTATTAAGGGACAATAAGAATTTTTGAAACAAAAGTAAATAAAAATTGATTTAAGATATTGAATGTGCCATATAGCTCTGTTCCTTATTTAATGAACCATGTTTTCCCCTGTATTCTACACTTCCTGTGTGAGCCTGAGCGTGTTTCTACCAGAGTCTGTGGGGACATCAAATGTAGAGTGAGGCACTCCATATTTACCGGTAAGAAGTGTTGAGGACCTTTTGGACACAATTTCTAGTTCTGCCCACATGCCTCTTCCCTGGTACTGCACTTTACCTGAAACTGTGCCTCTGGTCCCAAGACCAGCCATTGGAACATATTATTCACTCACTCCTCTGTTATAGCAAAGGACCAGCCAGCATGGTACATGTCAACTAATCCAGCACCGGGAAGACAAGTACAGCTGATGTTTCTCACTATTGCCTTATTCTCTGAGCCATCTTTGATTTCAATCTTGTAAAAAACTTCCGAGGTAGAAGCAAAACTTCTTTTAAACTCAGAGCTTGTATGTGATGGTCATCCAACATCCTTATTTCTAGATTTGTGCAAACCCATCAACAATCTTTTTCTGTATCATGCATGTATTTAGATGCTACATTAACATGAGCCAACTTGTGTTGAAAATATTGGGCGTAATATCCAAATTGGTGTTATTTAGGATGACTGCATAATCTTTATTAGATATTTCATGAGAAATAGAAGATAATCCTTTGTTTGCAATTTAAACTTTTAAAAAAATCTTCTTTTGGGGGGCTCAGTTATGTGTTTGGTTATATATAATACTATGTCATAGGAAGTTAATGTTTACTCCATTTCGATCCCCTGTTCACTTTTCTGGATCTCTGTTCCACATCCCCTGACTCTTAAATCCATTTTTCATCTGTGAGGTCATTGAGGCACTGGACTTGATTATATTGGTAAACCTACAAGGGGAGTTGAACTTTTGATCTTCCAAGAAGAAAGGGACCAGACAGTGTTGCTTAAAATGCTGCAGTTGTGTTACTGTGAAGAAAAGATTTGCTTCCACTTTTAGCAGGCCATATCTATATTCATTTTGGTAAAAATAGGTGGAAAAATCTGAGAACATAATTACCTTCACAAATTATTTATAGGTACACTGGGCAAGAAGCTTACTGTAGGGCAGTCACTAGAAAAAAACAACTGTAGTGCTTTCAAAAGTGTAATATTTGTATCTCTTTCCATGCCAGCAATGCCCGCTGCGCACTGTGTCCTATTACTGTAAATCACCTGGTTTTTAATTCTAATGGGAACTAACTTGTTTTGTAATGGAATCCAGAGCAGATATGTATAATATGACCAGGATTGTCCTACAGTTGTAAATAAGAATAGGTCCTGTTTATTTTGACATCTTTTTACAAATGCATTGTATTAGGGTGTGAATATTCTGAACCATGCTCTTGTTTAAAGTTTTGAAATTTTTATTGGTAAATGTAACATTTTAATGGTTGTAATAATTATTTGTATAGATATAAATATAGTATTTTATTTAAGAAAATAAACTTTGCATTTTTGCATTGTGAATTCTCTCTTTTCTGATCATTCCATGTGCCACTTCAAGCCTGGTATTTAAACAACTTCTCTTGCATACTAGTCTCATATTCAAATAACCTTTAAATTTTGCCAAAGTGTCTGAAAATGATACCATGACACATTTCCCCTGGGGATTATGTTCCTGATCAAAGAGTCAACTTCAAATATATCATAATTATGAGTAGCACTATATCTTCAGAGCAAACTATACACCTCTGTGCTTATTGTAAAAGGTAAAATTAGAATTTCAGATCTGGAAGAATATTGAGAGATTATTCCATTTATACTTTCCTCCTTGCATTTTATAGTGGAGGAAACCAAAGCAAGCACTTTGGGGCAAGAATTAGCTCTTTGAGTACAGCCACATCAACTTGGTCCCATCTCACCAGCATGAAGTTTGAGGGGGAAAAATGTTGCAGAGAACTTGTACAGGATAAAACTACATAAAACGTAAATGTCTATAAATCAAACTGTTGTGTAGGGATAGCCTACAGATGTGATTAGAATATAAATTAGGGAAATGGTAAATTCAAAGTTCAGGATAATGGATACTTCTTAGGAGGAAAGGGGTTAGTATCAAGAACATTGGTATATTCAATTGAATTGGTTACTGGATATTCAGGTGTTTATTTCATTTACACCTTAAGTTTTTGTCTTATGAATGTATATAATATATCCCAAAATTGAAACAGGTAAAATGAGGACCTTAGAGATCATTTACTCCCACATGGGCTGCAGGAAATTAATACAATATTGTCCTTGTCCCAGCTTCTTAGGTGTTCAGATTAAAACTCAGTATTCTGACTATTCAGTATTTAGTGTTTTTTCTACTGCACACTGCCTCTCATACAGAGGTTGTGGATGTATCATATATTTTTATTACATGGGGAGCCCTAATATGCCCTAAAGGTTGTACAACCCATAAAAATGTGACCACCATGCATAACTTCAATCTCCTTAAGATGAATGCAAGCTATAACCGCTATGTAAAGTTTGTTGGTTTTCCAGTTTACTTAGATGTTTGAGGGGAAACTATTTTAATTACATATCATCTTAAAAAGCTATGCAGGGGATTTTCACTGTAAGGTAGGATGTAGGAGTGAGTGGCAGATCATCAGCCCCACAGCAACAACTAG